TGGTTGAGGTCGTGGGGGTCCTTGTCGATGTCTAGTCAGTATGACTTCCATGGCCTGAGACATGCCATGCTTTGGTGGACTCTTGACCTGGTGGAGTGCCGAGGCCTGGTAGGTCGTAGCTAACCGCGCCGAGGCCTGATTTGCCGAGGCCCTGGTGGGTATTTGTAGCTGACCGCACCGAGGCCTGATTTGCCAAGGCCCTGGAGGGAGCAGTTGGGCCTATGCACTGATTCCGAGGCTATAGTGACCCGGTTTAGGTGGAAAAGTGCAGGGCAGGGTAACCCCTGCACCGTCAGTAGGGATGGTAAAAAAGGAGATTTGACCGTTGTCCCATCGCCCCTGTTACTCTACCCTGCCAATCGTGGCTGACGTAGCGGGAGCATTCAGGCGCATTAAATGGATGGGACAACCTACCAGGGGGGCAGTTGAGGCAGAGACGACAAGGATGCGGGACGAGCCCGGCCTCGGCCAAGGTGGAGAAGGAACAGTACGTCCGAGGCCCTGCCGGGGGGTCTCAGACGAGGCGGAGAACGAGCGGCTAGGCTCTCCTGCTATTGCTGAGACTACAGGGACCTAGACTTGACCTTCCACGCCGCTTTGTCCTTGGCGCAGGGGTTAGGTAGCACAAGGCAGTACGGGTGTTAGTAGGGAGCACAGTGATGAACACAGTGGCAGATAACCCCTGCTGCGCCCGGTCCCCTGTCCCGTCGGTCGCTCTGCCCGCACTGTACCCGTGTGCGGCTGACGTTTGCGGGAGTTGTTGGGCGCATTAATCCGGACGTGACGTTTTGTCAGAGGAGTTTGGTCGGGACAGATGTAATGAGGTTGTTTGCCGAGCCCAGCCTCGAGCGAATCGGAGAATTGGCATCCCGTCCGAGGCCTTTCGGGGCGGGGCCTCGGCGAGAGGGTCTCGGCGAGAGGGCCTCGGCGAGAGGGCCTCGGTGGGGCAGGGAGCTTTTGGCCTTTTGTATGAGGCCTCGGCGCAAGGCCTTGGGCGAATCGGAGAATCTGCTGAGACCTTACGGTAGTCTTTCGGCTTTGATTTTTGCAAGGTTTAAGCAATATTTTTGGTTCTTGCTTAGGGTACCCCTTCTTGCGGTATCCGACAGTTAGTCACTAAGCTCTTTGGTACCCAAATGACTTTCTTCCTTGAGCCCATCCATGGTTTACCAATGAACTTAGCCTTCACACCATTTGTACCCTTAGTAAGCATGTAACATGAATCAAGCTTAAGAGAGGATACATTAGCATTTTTGCTCTTGTTGGTGCATTCATGCTCTTTATGACCAACTTGCTTGCAACTAGTGTAAAACCGATCATTGTTCTTCACAAAACTAGTCTTGTGAGGAGCAAAGGCCGCCTTGCCTTTCTTGGGGGTATAGTCCAATCCCTCTTTGTAGAGAGAAGCTCTTTGGCTACCCAAGCACATAAGCAAGCGGTCCTCATCACCATAGGCCTTAGCCAAAGTGTGAGTGAGCTTGTTAACCTCCTTCTTGAGATTCTCATTCTCAACCACTAGTAATGCATCACAAAGTGAGACCATCACCACTAGATGAGGTGGAAGTGGAAGTACTACAAGAAGGGTTAGTAGAAGGAGCAATGATAGGCATAGATAGTGATTCATCAATTATATTACAAGTTAAACCTATATCACAAGTATCAACATGCTTCTTTTTATTTTGCTCATCAAGCAAAGAGGAATGAGCCTTTTCAAGCTTTTTGTGAGCTTTGCCAAGCTTCTCATTGGCTTCCTCTAGCCTCTCATGAGATGCATTGAGCTCATCAAAGCCTTGCTTAAGGGCTTTTAGTTTCTTACGCAAGCTTTTGTATTCCCTTCTCTTGATGTCAAAGTGTTCTCTAGCATCTTCTAGCATGTCAATTAATTCATCCTTAGTAGGTTCATCATCATCACTATCACTATCATTTTCATTTTCATTATCATCATCATATTCTTCATCACTTTCATCATCACAAATTTGTACCTTAGTGGCCTTAGCCATGAAGCATGATGAAGAGTCGAAGAGAGAAGGCTTTTTATTGATGACAATGCTTGCTAGAACCTTCTTCTTGGTGGTCTTGTGATCATCACTATCATTATCATCATCACTTAAGGAAGCATCACTATCCCAAGTGACCACATATGAACCACCCTTCTTCTTGAAGCTTGCAAACTTTTCTTTGAGAATGTATGCCTTTGCACCTTTCACGGCTTGAGTGCCTTCAAAAGATTCTTTCAACTTCTTCCAAGCCTCATGAGCCATTTCAATATTCTTGATTTGCTCAAATGTTCTCTCATAAATTGCATCATGAATGGCACTTAGAGCAATATCATTGTTTTGGAGAAGCACTTCTTCGCCCGCGGTGGGATTTTTTGGATCATCAATCTCAATTTTGGTTTCTACCACCTTCCACACCTTTTTATTGATTGACTTGATATGTGTGGTCATCTTTGACTTCCAATATGGATAATTTGTGCCATCAAATTGGGGTGGCTTCTTTGTGTTGTTGATTTGAGTCATTTTTACACCGAAGGTTGTTAAGCCTCAAATCACGGTGACCTTGGCTCCGATACCACTTGAAAGGTCCTAATGGCTAGAGGGGGAAGGGTGAATAGCCTAATAAAAATTTCTACAATAACACTTAACAAAATGTTAGACAATTATGAGGCGAAGCAAGAGTTGCGCTAGCCTACTCAAAATACAAGCCACCTACCACAATTCTAGTTTAGATGGAATATATCCACACAAAAGCTATATCACTACTCTAAGTTAGTGTGCTCTCAAAAGCTAACTAAAGAGCCACACTAACTAGACTAACAAACTCTCACAACTAGTTACACTAAAGAGCTTGACAACTAGTTTGCGGTAAAGTAAAGAGTAGGCAAGAAGGTTATATCGCCGTGTAGATGTATGAACCAATCAATCACAAATGTGGATAACAATGAAGACCAATCACCTCAGAATCAAATGATGAACACAATGATTTTTTTACCGAGGTTCACTTGCTTGCCGATAAGCTAGTCCTCGTTATAACGATTCACTCACTTGGAGGTTCACGCGCTAATTGGCATCACACGCCAAACCCTCAATAGGGTGCCGCACAACCAACCCAAGATGAGGATCACACAAGCCACGAGCAATCCACTAGAGTACCTTTTGGTGCTCCGTTGGGGAAAGGTCAAGAACCCCTCACAATCACCATGATCGGATTCGGAGATAATCACCACCCTCCGCTCGATGATCCTTGCTGCTCCAAGCCGTCTAGGTGGCGGCAACCACCAAAAGTAACAAGCGAATCCCGCAGCGAAACACGAACACCAAGTGCCTCTAGATGCAAACACTCAATCAATGCACTTGGATTCTCTCCCAATCTCACAAAGATGATGAATCAATGACGGAGATGAGTGGGAGGGCTTTGACTAAGCTCATAGGGTTGCCATGTCAATACAAAATGGCCAAGAGAGTGAGCTTGAGCCAACCATGGGCTTAAATAGAAGCCCCCATGAAATAGAGCCGTTGTACCCCTTCACTGGGTAAAATGCGGGGTGATCAGACGCTCCGGTCATATTGACCGGACTCAGGACCCAGCGTCCGGTCACACGATGTCAGCCACGTGTCACACTGCATTCAACAGGAGTCGTCTGATCTCAACGGGCATCTGTTGACCGGACGCTCCGCTACAACTGACCGGACTCTGAGCATCCAGCGTCCGGTCGTTTCCAGTAAGGTTTCAGAAATGAATTTCTTCGACCGGAAGCGTCCGGTCATGCTTGATCGGACCCTGCCAGCGTCCGATCACACTATGACTTCTTACTATGCCGCCCGACAACACGACCGGACCCAGACCCTTAGCGTCCGGTCTGTCCCTGACCCAGCGTCCGGTCATTCACCGATGTTGGCATCTTCACTGCCATACATGGCCGGACGCGCCGGTCCCCCAAAGGTCCAGTGCCCGGTCACTGTATAGCCAGCGACACTAACTCCTTTTCACCTCTAACTTCTTCACCCTTGCTCAAATGTGCCAACCACCAAGTGTACCACCTTGTGCACATGTGTTAGCATATTTTCACAAACATTTTCAAGGGTGTTAGAACTCCACTAGATCCTAAATGCATATGCAATGAGTTAGAGCATCTAGTGGCACTTTGATAACCGCATTCCGATACGAGTTTCACCCCTCTTAATAGTACGGCTATCAAACATAAATGTGATCACACTCTCTAAGTGTCTTGATCACCAAAACAAAATAGCTCATATGGTTTATACCTTTGTCTTGAACTTTTTGTTTTTCTCTTTCTTCTTTTCCAAGTCCGAGCACTTGATCATCACCATGACATCATCTTCATCATGCAATGATCTTCATTTGCTTCACCACTTGAAGTGTGTTACCTATCTCATGATCACTTGATAAACTAGGTTAACACTTAGGGTTTCATCAATTCACCAAAACCAAACTAGAGCTTTCAGGGACAGAGCGGGGCGGGATAGAGGATGGTGTTGGCCGTGTGCCGACGGAGGTGCCGGCGGACGACAGGCCCCAGCCGTGCCGCCGGAGGTGGCGGCGGACGGCAGACCCAACGGTGCTGTGGTGGAGGTGGCGTTGGTCGTTGGAGAAAGTCTACCTTTTTTTTATTGCGGGCCGCGACGTCTAGACGTGAAGTGGCCGGCACAAGCGAAGGGATAAGGCTGGGGGCAATGGGTGAGTGGACGTGGACACGGACATCTACCGATACGATACCTAATTTTAGACCTATAAACATACCTCCACGACACTGTTTTTTGATAAAATTTGAATCATAGAATGACTATTTTTCTGAGATGGAGGGAGTACTAACAATGTTCTTTCTTTTATTTTATTTTCATTTTATCGGGCTAAAAAGACCTACTCATGTCACTATTGAAGATGCCCTAGACTCCGTGGCAGCGTGAGTGAAAAGTGAAAACCACGCTACTGTATAGTTTGGAAAGAATGCACCCATGGCCCACACGCAGGGTCGGCAGTCACCACCGGTCATCGTCGCTGAACAGCCACACCCTCCCACTCCCCCAGTCCCACCTCGCCGCGGCCCGTCCCTTTCCCCCTTCCGCGTCGCCGTCGCCGCGATCAAGTTCCCACGCACTCGTTCCTATCCCCTCGCGCCGGCGTGGGTCGCGCAGGGAGCGGAGCTGAGCCACCGGTATCAGATATCCCGGCCACGATGATTTACGGGTCGCACTCTCACCAACCACCCTTCTCGTCACCTCGTAGGCTACCAGATCCGCAGCCCGCACCTTTGACTGTTTATTTATTGGGGAGGCCGGATGCGGAGGCGTGGGTTGGTGAGGGACTCGGATCAGCAGCAGCTGATCAGGAGGCCGGTCAGCCATGGAGGAGGGAGGCGAGCACACGAGTCTTCTGGTCAAGGTATGGCGAACCTGCTGTCGATTGGCCTCCGCCGAATCGGAGCTAGCTCTTAATTGCTTGCCGCAGAATGGTTTGTTTCCTGGGTTAGGGGATCACGCTCGCCAGGAGGCAGGAGCGAAATGCGGTGGTAGAACCGCGTGCCTTTGTATCCCAAAAGCGGCGGTTTGGATATCCAAGTTTCATTTTGAGTTTCACAAAGGGGTTAGGCAAAATATTCAGTGCAAACCACATCTTCGGTGCAATCCATGAAAACCCCATTAAAACCATACTTAGGAGCAAAATTTGAGATTCAAACTCATTCTGCAAAAATCCATATGAAAATAACAAATTTCATTGGCATATGCACTAGAGGGAAATTTGTTATTTTTATATGGATTTTTGTAGAACGAGGTTGAATCTCAAATTTTATGACAATGCACATCTACAGATGCACTATTGGTGTGCATAGTCTCAAATTTTTTGAAAACTCCTAAGTATGGTTTTGCAAAGGGTTTTCACGATTGCACCGAAGATGTGGTTTGCACTGAATATTTTGCCAAGGGGTTATGAGTCTAGAACTGTTGAACAGGCTGATGGGCATCTGATCGTGACATGCATGCATAGTGAATTGCTCGTGAATATCAAATATGTGTTACTCTGTTGTGGGAAAAACGTTGAATTCTGTAGATCATGCAGTATGCACAGATGTGTAGTACATGGAAGTCGTTGCTTGTAAGTTTGGGATCTGAAAATGAGGGGAAATGATTGCAAAATTTCTTGCTTACATTGACTGCACAACTTAGATGATTGGACTTCATTACAGAAAGTTTTCAGATAAACCGTCGAAAATTTGTTTACTGTGAGAAACATTATGGTCTCATATGTTAATACCTGGCCTTCCTTCAGGATGATGCATCATGTCATGGCGAGGAAGCACAAAGTCTATTGGAAGCAAATCTAGGGCCACAGCTGAAAAGTAAATGCTCTGACCGGAGAGCACCAGCACTCATCCTGGGTGAGTCAAGCGGTGCCAAGTCTAGCTTTTGTTCTGTGCAGTGTCAGTATGTTCTTTGAAGCTGTCTGATAACCAACTCATGTATAGAGCACCTATCACTCTTTTACATGCTTTAGTGTGATTTCTTATGAGATGCTTGTTTTTTTTTTCTGGCTACTGGTATACAAAAGAGTGATAGGTGCTCTACACGCGAGTTGATATTCTTGGTTAGCTGATCCATGGTTAGGGTATCAATTCTAGCCACATTCCTATAATTAGCCTATTTATGTTTAACTGATCAATTCTCTGGGTGATATTCTTCTTGATTCTGTGACTAAGAGACTGCATTCCTTGATCGGGAGGATGTTAATCAGTTCAGATCCTGCAGGATTGGAATGCTTGGAGAGCATGGCTTTTAATGGCATTGCCACAAACCTAGTCGTGTATCTCCGTTCAGTCCTCCATGGTGGTATTGCTTCCAGTGCATCAACAGTATCTCTTTGGTACGGGACAAGCTTCTTTGTGCCAATGCTTGGAGCCGCTATAGCAGATACTTGCTTGGGAAATTATAAGACCATCTTGATCTCCCTTATCATGTACCTAATTGTAAGATATTTTTTTCCTGCTCAGCTGCTTGTTCTTATTCAGCTCTTTTCATTTCGACTTTGGTAGACTATATATAAAATAAAATGCCAATGCTGATTGCAGGGAATGGTACTAATTACAGTTGCAACATTTCTGCCTTCTGCTTCAATCTTATGCGACGTCAACTCATGCTTGTCATCAAATGGAACTCAAACCGTGATTTTCTTTGCTGGTTTGTATCTCACTGCTGTTGGATGTGGAGGAGTAAGATCTGCATTGCTTCCATTTGGTGCAAACCAGTTCAACAATGAGAACGGTCTAGTAGACATAAAAAAGAGAAGAAATTTCTTCAGTTCGTTCTATATATGTGTCATCTTTGGTGTGATTACTTCTGGGACAATTATAGTTTGGGTTCAGGAAAATGTGAGCTGGGCTATAGGATATGGAGTTGCCACTACATGCATAGGTCTTGCTTTGTTAGGATTTGTGGTCGGAACACCAATATTCCAACATGATGAGCCTTGTGGTTCTCCAGTGAAGAGTATTTTCCAGGTTATTGTTGCCTCTTTTAGGAACATGAGCTTGGAAGTACCTGCTGATAGCTCTCTTCTGTATGAGGTCAGGAGCAACCACATGCAAAGGACAATACTTGCTCACTCTGATGACTTTAGGTACTTTTTTCCCGTTACTTACCATGAGACACTTGTATATATGGTATTTTCTTTCTTGTTTCTCCTCATCATTTTTTAAAAAAAAAATCTTCTTAAAGCAATCACGCCAGTGGTGGTCAATTGTTAATTTCTTAATGATTTCTGGAGAATACCCATCATATATATACTAATTCAGGATGTTCAATCTACAAAATGTATCTCTATCTCATGTATCCCATGATTTGAACCTAGTAATAAATAACTGTTCCTGAAACATGAAAGCCAATGAAAATTACCTTTTCATTTGGTTGATGTTCCCTTGCTATCCTGCACTTATTTAACTATCTGTCTGTTTCCATCATTTTGTCTCAGGTTCTTAGATAAGGCAGCAGTTATTTCTGATCCAAGCTTGGTGTATGGAGGCTGTCGAAGCTCATGGAGTTTGTGTACGGTTACTGAAGTTGAGGAACTGAAAATACTTATCCGCTTACTCCCAATATGGGTGACTGGAATATTCTTTGGTGCTGCAATCTCTCAAATGCACACCACTTTCATTCAGCAGGGAACTGTGATGAACACCAGGATTGGTTCCCTGTCCATTCCACCAGCATCCTTGTACTCATTTGAAGTGATATGTGTCACGCTCTGGGTACTTGCTGTGAACAAAGTGCTTGTGCCGGCAACCCGAACGTATTTTGCAAATGGAGCCGAGCTCACACAGTTACAGAGGATTGGGATCGGTCGTTTCCTGATGATCTTTGCCATGGCAATGGCCGCACTTCTAGAAACCAAGAGGCTGCAGAGTGTTCAGGAGGGGGAACTGCTAAGCATTGTATGGCAGCTTCCACAGTACTTCGTCATTGCTGGGGCTGAGTGCTTTGCTATCATCACTCAGCTGGAGTTCTTCCATGGCCAGGCGCCAGACTCCATGAAGAGCATATTAACGGCATTTGCGTTGCTCACCACTGCCCTTGGGAATTACTTGAGCTCAGCTATCATCACCCTCATTGCAGGGGTGACCAGGGTATGGCATAGCCCTGGATGGATACCAGATGATCTGAACAAGGGACACCTTGATTACTACTACTGGTGTCTTACAGCCCACTCGTTGGTGAATTTTGTTGTATATCTGTATTTTGCTAGTAAATACAAATTGAAGAAAGTTGTTATCTGCTAATACTACTAGTGAAATATCACCAAGTGTAACATGTGAATGTTTATTTTTATTCTTTATATGTATAGCAGTATAGGGCCATGGAAGGACCTTATTTCCCCAAAATATCGTCCCTTGTTCTTCTCATAGCGATGTGTAAATGCTAGGAGAAAGATGCATATTGTCTGTAGTAACTATTCGTTCTCTGTTCTTATGCTGGAGGGATCTGTTGATTGTTTCAGTTATATACGAATGTAATACTGATTTACTGGTGAAAGAAGTTTGGTGTAAACATGATAGTATGACCTGTTGGTGGAACAAAATCACTATACAATTGAACTATGATAGTATGACCTGTTGGTGGGACGGTGCTGGTTGTTGATCTTTAAGTCCCCCTTTTTTTTTGTTAATGAAGATGGAATTGAAGTTCCCTCTCGACAGGGAAGAATGCGCTACATGGGAATCTAGTTGATTACTATAATGACATTTTATACCAAGTTTATGACCTTTTTAGCCATTTACTATTTTCTACGTTTCGAAATATAGGTTATTTTAGTTTAGTCATAAATTAAACCTTTTCAACTTTAACTAAGTATTTGGAAAAATACAACAACATTCACAACATTGAATTAGTTTTATTAGATCGAAGCTAAGTATTTTACCCTCTCAAAAACGTTAAAAAGTACTGTATGTTAGTAGTACATAGTACATTAACTTGTTGGTAAGTCATTGCCTATTTGTTATTGTAAACCCACATTTTAGAATAGTAGCAAAACTTCATCACAAACCATAGTATTCACCAAGAAGCCATCCTGGCCGTCCGATCTCAGATCGGCCCTTGACATTTAGACCTCGGCAGCAGAGACTGCAGAACCGAACATCCCAACGTCCCGAACCCTCCCCGCTCCCCCGATCTCCGCCGCTCCAAAATGTGGCGCCGCCAGCTCCTCCGCCGCCTATTCCCATCTCCGGCCACCGGGGCCACCACCGCGCCCCCTTCGCCTTTCCTGCGACACCTCTCTACCTCAAGCACCCCGATCCCGACCCCGGCCACTTCCCTCGCTTCCTCCCTCGCGTCGGCGCTCACCGCGCTCTCCACGACCCCACCGCCCGCCACCACCCCGGACGCCTACTTCTCCCTCCACTTCTCCGACGTGCGCCCCACCAACGCGCTCCTCGCCGAGGCGCTCGCGCTCTCCCCGCCCGCCACATCCCGCGCCGCTGCCGATCTCTTCCGCTTCCTCGTCCGCCGCCGCTCGCTCCACCCCTCCGACGGCGCGCTCGCACCCGTCGTTCGCCACCTCGCTCGCCGCCGGGACTTCCCCGCCGTGCGCGCTCTCATCCAGGAGTTCCCCACCGCTCTCGGGCCCGCCACGCTCGATGCCTATCTCCATCAGCTCGCCAGAGCCGGGCGACCGACGGACGCTGTCAAGGTGTTCGACGAATTGCCGGAGCAGCTCCGTAACCGCGAGGCTCTAACTTTGCTGGTCTCCGCCCTTTCTGCCGAGGGCTTCCCCTCGCACGCGGAGCGTGCTGCCAAGAAGGTCGCCAATGAGATCTTCCCGGATGACAATATCTGTACTTTCACTGGTATCTGGCTATGCCAATGCTGGTAAGCTCGACCATGCGCTCAGGTTGATTGGTGAGACATGTAGGGGTGGGTTCCAGCTAGGATTGGATGCATACAATGCTGTTCTTGATTGTGTGTGCCGGCTCTGTCGCAAGAAGGACTCGCTGAGGATGCCTATGGAAGCGGAGAAATTCTTAGCTGACATGGAAGCCAATGGCATTCCCCGTGATGCAGGGACATTTCGGGTTCTGATCACAAATTTTTGCAAGATCCGCAAGACAGAGGATGCCATGAATCTGTTCCGGCGTATGGGTGAGTGGGGCTGCTCACCAGATGCTGCCACGTACTTGGTGCTCATCAGGAGCTTGTACCAAGCTGCCCGGACTTCAGAGGGTGATGAGATGATGACGTGGATGCGGTCTGCAGGATTTGGAGATAAACTTGATAGGAAGGCATACTATGGATTCATCAAGATTTTATGTGGGATTGAGAGGGTTGAGCATGCTGTCAAGGTATTCCGTATGATGAAAGGTTATGGGCATGCTCCTGGAGTAAAATCATATAGCTTGCTCATTGAGAAGCTGGCTAGGCACAATTTAGGGGATCGTTCCAATGCACTGTTCAGGGAGGCAGTTGCACGTGGTGTTCCTGTGGCACAAGGAGATTATACTATTGACAAAAGGTATGTCAAAGCAAAGAAGGAAAAGAAGGTGAAGAAGAGGCTGACTTTGCCGGAGAAGATGAGATTGAAGAGCAAGAGGTTATACAAGCTCAGAATGAGCTTTGTCAAGAAGCCCAAGCGTCGAATGCTCCGGGATTAAGCATAATTTTGGGTATTCTCGTAATCATGCTGATTTCATTACTCGTTTATAATACTATCTTTGCTTCAGCATTTGCCATGTTGATGGTGATATTTTCTGAGAACCAGTTCGTCATTCTTTGTTTATCATTTTGTCCTGCACTGCTGCCACTATATCTTACTTCATCACACTTGAATTATAGAAGCACAATGAAATCTTTTCCCCCCAAAGGTTCCAATACGCAGATTCAAAACTCTGTTTAGAATATATTCTTTGACACCATTATAGTTAGATGCTTATCAAAAGCCTAGTTTCTCCATGAATGTGTAGTTAAGGAAACACGTACCAGTAGATGTATCATTGTGATGCTGAATATGCTGTAAAGTCAAGAAAATCTAGGAAGAAAGTTTATTTGTTTTTTTTTTTTTTTTTTGGAAGTTAGCATGTATTTGTCTAAAGTGGGTAGTTTCACTTGAATTATATTGCTCAGCTCGTATGATTGTATCAATTTTTTCTGTTCCAGTAACCACTAACCAGTAAATCATCCATGAATGCATTACAACATTTAAATGAGTGTAGTTTCTTAGGAATTTTTAGGTGCCCCCAACATTGCTTTCTCACGTTTTTTTTTTGGTCAAACTGGCTATTTTGTAATCTTTTGAAGCAGCTGCATAGATAATAAATATTAAATATTGGCACATTCAAAACGGTTTGCGGTTGTGTGTGGGGGGTGGGGGGGGGGGGGGTGTGTTGGGTTCGTTGTACTTTAAGTTCTTGTCTTCTTAATGCAATGATATGTAGCTTTCCTGCGTATTTGAGAAGAAAAAACCAATTTGTGGTCAAATGCAAATACTTGGTAAAATAAATACTAGAAATTTCATGAAAACCAAGACTCACTACTTACAAACACTCAAATTCCTGGATCACTCCTTTGTTAGGACTGGATGATGATAGAATGTGTATATATATCATATATACAAAGCCTATACATCAATATCAAAAGCTTCTGCTTTCATGTTCCCTGTCCAATGTTACCTGGCTCTCTGCCTCGATAAAGCTAGTAGAAATTGGAATTTCTTATCCCTCTTCATTTTGTCCAATCCATTCTGCTGCAGAATAATTCATGCGAACACTGCAGCTACATTTTTTTTAGAAAATCTTTTTTCTTTTACTTTATGGACCTTTCACTATGAAAGTAAAGTTGCTGTGCTCAGGTTCTCACACCAGTCTGAAATACGAGTTCCAAATAACTTCCTGTTATGTGTTCCTAAGGTTGCACTGATACATAGTCTCTTACTATCATGCTGATGTTTTGATACATATACGCATGACCAGAGCATACTCCATATTGTAGGAGCGTTGGCTTGTATCCATTTTTTAAGCTCCCGTATGGCACCAGAGCATATTCGGCATAGCATATTAGAATTTACTGAGCCCCACCACCACAAGTCTACATGTAGGCTTTTCCAACTTTTTGTATTGTATCATATCATGAGCTTGGCTTACAAATTTGGCTTCTTAGTTCTTACCATCCATTGTTGAACATATGGAATACGATGTGGTCATGCAACATCTTCCTTGCTCTTAAGTTTGAGCATCCTTTATGGAATTGTTTAGTGTCAGAATATTTACCATGTTTGTGAAGTTGCGAGCCATCGACGCATGTGTAACTGTTTGGTAGAGGCAACACTACTATGGGCCCACTGGTGGCTGTAAATTACAAAAAAAGGGTGTACCCAGTGCAGAGAGCTCCCGCTTTGTGCGGGGTCTGGGGAAGGGTGTTGGTGGCTGTAAATTACAAGATAAATGGAAATCATATAATATGCTAGAGGCCACTATCATTATCAGTGATTTTCCCAATCATCTCATCTGTTAGATTCCAGTTTAACCCAATTTTGTGCACACAACATGATTCCTCACTGAGAAATCAAGGATTTAAAAGTTTGTGCTTTTTGCTGAAAATGTTTTCTTTTGTAAACTGCCTGCACGTCTTTCTGCAACTGTGGTACTAATGGTTTGTAATCATGTATCAGTTTGGTCGGAGCGGATGATCATGGGAATGGACACCACCAGATCCAGTTATAACCCGGAAGATCAGAAAATTGTTGTCCACACCGGAAGATCAGAAATTTGTTGTCTCTGAATTGTGGCTGTCCTTTTGAGTGGCTATGCAACATTTTTCGAAGGGGAGAGCTCAGTACGGTTTCATTTCTTTTGGGGCAGGGTTGATGGCCTGGTGACTCCGGTGATGTTTGGTGCAACACCTTGCATTCCATTATAGCACAAATAATGTACCATTTCACTAAATTTAATTTACACTTCTGGTGATGTTCTGTACACCCTAGTTTTTCATAGAAAGCATTGGAAATCTGCCACAACTCGTCCAAAACTAACTGGACCACCTCTTGCTGAAGACGTTTGCTGTTTCCCTGTTTCCCGCACTTCTATGAGCGAAGACGTAATTTTTAATGTTCTCGAGTGCATGAGACACTACTTCTACATGAGCATAAATTTTCACTCACTCAGAAATGACAATCGATAGGTGTATGTTTCTCTACACCTGCTTAATCAAAGTACGAGAGCCCAAGCCGCACGTGCGGGGCAACTCGACAGATGGGCGCAACCGAAAGCACAAGGATAAAGCTACATTTGCAGTAGTAGAATGGAACTGTGGAAGACCAAAGGGCACAGGAAGAGGGCGAAGGAGGCTGGAATTGGATTTTTTTTAATGAAGAAGAGAGCAGGAGAAGCCCGCACACAACACAATCCGCAGCAGAGAAGTGCAGAGGAGAATTCAGATCAAACCCAAGGTGTCGTCGCCTTCGTCCTCTCCCTCCCCCTTCTCAAGTCCTGATGTCGACGTCCAGTCGTCCACCCTCTCCTCGATTTCCCTTTTCGGTGTTTTAAATATAAATCGCCAGCAATTCTGTACGCAATACGTTGAGTGGAAAGATCGTACGCATATGTGTGCGTGCGCCTGCGCTTTCTTGCTTCACCTGCTCTCCTACGTAGTATGTGACAGAGCGATGCATCACGGCGGCCGGCTTTGAGATGGAGCGTCACGGGCCGAGGCCGTATTCCTGAGCTGCGTATCCAGTCGCTAGAGATTGCGAGCTCGGCCCCTGCCGCCGCCCCTGTGAGCAAGAGGGTCTCATCTATGTTTTCTCCCTCTCCTCGGAGTCGCACGCTTGCGGCGGGATACATCGGCAGCCACGCCATGCTACAGCTCCTGCTCACGGGCTTCTGTCCCATCGTCGTTGACCCGGAGCATCCTCGACGTCGACGATGATCCCTCCCTCTCGTCGCGATTCGTGGCGGGGCCGCGCCGTCCCTCACCTCTGGATACGCCACAAGCCCGTCTTCGGTGACCGTAAATGCCACCTGGAGAGCGGCCTGGCTGCCGGTGCGGCCCGTCACACTGGCTAGTACTTGGGAAAGGGGTTCGTTGTTGACAGCTCTGTCTGGTCGTCTTCCCGGCCGAATTTTTTATTTTTTTAGTTTTTTTAAGTTATTCACAGATATATTTTGTAGGTATGCTTTTAAAACCTAAACCTTTAGCTCGGTACCATCGGTGACGTCGAGGTTACGTGTCTCGGCATCGAAGGGTTTGGTGACGACGTGAACGCCGACATAGGAGCCAGCTCGGCGCCGCCGAGGCGATATTTTAACCCGGCGCCCTCTCCACCCTCCTCCACACACCGGGACCCATCCCCACCCCGCGCGACCGCGGCGGCCGCCGCCACCCCCACCCCCACCGCCACCCCGCTCGGCCCCTTCCTCCGCAGCTTCGCCTCGGCCACGCGGCGGTCGGGGCCCTCCTCCCGCCCGCGCGCCAGGGACATCGGCGCCCGCGCGCGGCAGCTGCAGACGCGCCGCCTCTGGTCCTACGGGCTCGCCTTCGTCTGCACGGCCGGGTTCGTGGTCACCGTGCTCGCCACGTTCCAGGACCAGCTCGTCTTCTACGTCACGCCCACCGACGCGCTCGCCAAGTTCACCGCCGACCCCTCCAAGTCCCGCGTCCGCCTCGGCGGCCTCGTCCTTCCGCGAGGGCCACTCCGTCGTCGTGGAGGGCCTCCTCAAGCCCTTCACCGACGACCTCCGCCGCCGCGACGACGGGAGGAAGGTCACCGAGAAGGCGCGGGAGTGCGCGTGCTTCTTGCGCGGCACCGAGGTGCTCGCCAAGCACGACGAGAAGTACATGCCCAATGAGGTCGGCGAGGCGCTCGAGCGAAACAAGAAGCGCCTCGAGGCCGAGGCAGAGGCGGCCGGACGCGGAGACCCCAGCCGCGCGGATCGCTCGAGGTCCGGCGCGGCCGCGTGGACCAGGTGCTCCAGTTGCTTCCCTCTGGTTCTTCCTCTTCTCCCGTCCTCGATTTGCTTTCCTCCGATTCTCAATCATCCCCCGCACCTCGCCCCCTCCGCTCCCGGCCGCCGCCCAGCCGTCATCTTCGTCGACGAGCCCGTTCGCTTCCCCCCACTTCACAGATACTGCACAGCACCGTCATCACTGGATCTGCCTAAGGCGACGAGGAGTGGGGCAGCGGTGGAGGAGCAACGGCCGCTGTTGGCCTGCGCACGGGGATGGCGTGCGTACTAACCCCACTCGACTGGCGACGTGGTGAGTCCTCCGTCGACAGGTTGGATCCAGAGGCCCTCTCTCTGATCCCTTTTCTTTCACCACTCCGTCACCCTGCAATTTCTCCTATGGCTGTGTTTCCTTTTCAGGCACGCACGTGTGTCTCCTTGGTCGGTACACAGCAGATGGTGCCAAGGCAGACTGAGGCAGGTATGCATCCGATTTCCAGTCTGTTTGTTCACAGTTGCCTGTATGAAATTGTACTACATGTCTTATTAATATCAAGCTTTTGGTTTATATATATAGAGACGCAGCAGTTGTTTATTTAGCCCCTTGTTTAATATCAAGCTTTTGGTTTATATATAAGCGTTCGTCTCGCAACGCAGCAGTTTTATTTTCGCTACATTTTGCACGGGCCGCAAACATTTATGGAATTAGCACACAAAGAACTACGCCATTGAACATTTTATGGACATGGCCAGCAAAGGACCAACTATGTTCCTTTTTTTGGTTGACTGTTGTATGTTTCAAGGTAAACAATAAGGGTCAGTCCCTATCCAAATGTGTAAATTTAGTTTTCTGCTCAACCCTGTGGGTAATTCCACGCCTTACTTACCAATATATTTTATATACAGGAATGTCGATGCTGGAGTGATCACCGTTATGTACATGGTTCTCATATTTTTGAAATCATCGCTTTGCAGAATAGTTAGGCGATGGTAAAATTGATTCGCTATTGCAGGTTTAGTGCTGCTTAGCCTTTTCCCATTCTTCTTATCTTTTTTACGCCCAATTCATACATAATACTGGTTAGTAATAACAGGTATGAAGTCGAAGAAAGTATGTAAAAGATAAATTTTCTTGAGTACCATGTATACACTTACTGTTTTGTGAACTGTTGTTGTTCTGAACACTATTCATTTATTTACATCAATAGGGAAAACTGGTACAGCTACATATACATTCATTACAAAAAAATAAGAAAACCATATTTTAGATTAAACCACACTCTTTACTGTTTCTCGCCAAAAAAAAATATTGGTCAGTGACACCATTAGTCATACAACCTACAGTGCTGGGATTCTTTCTGATTACCTCAACACAATCTGCAGGTATGTTCTTGCCATTGATTGAGTGCTGGCACTGGCAGTAAAGCCTCAGGTTGTAAAACTAGCTCTCTTTGCTCCAACAAGAAAAGAAATAGTAGGTGCCCCTGTCAACACTATCATCTACGTCGAGGATGGCATCTGCATCGAAAAATAGGCCCTGTTTCTCTCAATTTTCTTTGAACTTCTGATATCTTTATCTCTTGAATAAGTCCAGCTAAATATTAGTTACTCTATAATTTCCATCTTCCTACAAAGTGGCTGTACTGCTTAGTTTCTGAATGCATTTACCATGCAATTGTCTCCGAATCGATAAGTAGGTCCTATTTTCTGTCAATTTCCTTTGAATTTTTGACATCTTTATCTTTTAAATAAGTCCAGCTAAATGTTAGTTACTACATAATACAAAATTGCTGTATTGCTTAACTTCTGAATACATTTTTCATTGCCTCCATACCCATGGATGGTCCTCAAACATTTCATGATTTCAATCATGTATGCCGTGTGTTTTACTATTGCCAAACCAAGTACCAACTTTTACATGGTGTTCCTTTTTTTAAAGGTGTTGCACAGCTAATTAATTTGGAAAAAGTAGATCCATATGTTGAAGTGCATGGAGAGGAAGAAGACTGCACTATATGGTGTTCAAGAACAACTCAAATGTCAGCTACACGATTCAGCTTTCCTGGATTACAAGAAGATGCCTGGACCATGGGTGCCTACCAAATGTGAAGTGTAACATTCACTTCGTTTATATATAGTTGTCTCTAATTACAGGCAGATTTGCTAATTCTGTAAAGAACAGATGAACAATCTACCCTACATTTTCTTATGATCTTTGTACTTATGTTTAAATCTATCACTTATGGTGCCATTACACTATCATTCTCTTAGGAAGGATCTATGTAATATAAGCGGGTGTAGCAGGCAGATACAAACCATCCCGCAGCGAAGCGCGGGGTACCGACTAGTATAGAAAATTGAGAGCACACATGGCAAAATACAGCAGGAAAGCTTGGCTTGCAAGCATCACTCAAATCTATTGAAAAAAAAAATCAAACACAAAGGCTTTCTTTGCTTACATAGTTACTTCATATGCCAGTATAGTTCTGTACAATCATACACACGCAAACCCAATTAGGCACTCACTCAGTTAGGAGAGATATGACCACCAGTCAGAAGAAAAACCAAAACCGTATATGCAAAGTTTACAGATCAGTTCAATGTCAAAAGTTCGGAGCCGTTGCTCTCTCGATTCAGCACTGGCAGGTCAATGTCCACTACTTCGACGTGCACTATCAGCTTCGCGAGGTCATCGACGGAGAACTATTCAGCGTCATTGCAGGTAAAAAAAAGCATCAAACATACAGTATGAGTCTTAACAAAAATGTAGAAAAAAAGATTCAGCGCTGACCTTTGAGGCAAGTCACGCGCGTCCTAGCCAGCTGAACCGCAATAGTGTTGTTGTATGTTCTTCGAAACAATTATACTTGTTTCATTTCAAACGTCAAGAGCTATAGGGTAATAGCTCGGCGCCAAGATCTACGGCGCCGAGGCCTTGTCCACGTCGGTGCCAGGTCAACGTCACGTCCGACACCTCGCCAAGATCTCGACGCCATTGTGTTTCCTCGGCGCTAAAAGAAATGGCGCCGAAGTCACGTTCCATTAACGAAAATCAATCCTCCGTGAGCATATTTGTGAACAACTTAAAAAAAAAAGCCAAAAAAATAAAAAATTCAGTCTTCCCGGTGGACAAAGCCGCGTTTTTCCACGGGCCACCGTCCCCCAACATTCGTCGATTCCAACCCCGCCTTGCCACCTCTCCGTGTTTTCAATGGTCAAAACCCACGCAGGCCGCAGTCGTCTTTTGCTCCCCGACCCGCGTTTCTTTATATCTCCCCCAAATTCCACCGCCACCAACCTCCCTCTTCCGTCCTCCTCTCCCACCACCGCCCCCCGCCGTCGCCTGCTGTTCCATGAAGGACTAATCCATCCATCGGCCGGCTGCTCAGCTATGGCGCAGCTCGCGGTGCGGTGGCTGCTGCTGTCCTTGCTCCTGGTGGTCTCGCCACCTGTGTCGGCTTCAGCTGGTATCGTGAAGCTCAACTCGTCGTCGCCCCTCTTTGGCATCGAGTTACCGGCGTTCAACACCGCCATCGCCGTCACCGGCTGCGACAGCAAGCTGGCTGCAGCCGAGGAGGCGGTGGATAAGCAGAAGCCGCCGTCGCTGAAGCTGCACATGAACCGCCGCGCCGCCGCGGCGGAGGGGGGCAGGACTCGGAAAGAGTCGCTCTTAGATTTGGCCGACAAGGACGCCGTCCGCATCGAGACGATGCACCGGAGAGCGGTGCGCTCCGGCGGGGACCGGACGCCGGGGTCTTCGTCTCCGCGGCGGGCGCTATCGGAGCGGATGGTGGCGACGGTGGAGTCCGGCGTGGCGGTCGGGTCCGGCGAGTACCTGATGGACGTCTACGTCGGCACGCCGCCGCGGCGTTTCCGGATGATCATGGACACCGGCAGCGACCTCAACTGGCTGCAGTGCGCGCCGTGCCTGGACTGCTTCGAGCAGCTTGGCCCCGTGTTCGATCCGGCCGCGTCCTCCTCCTACCGCAACGTCACCTGCGGCGACCAGCGCTGCGGCCTCGTGGCGCCGCCCGAGCCGCCGAGGGCGTGCCGCCGCCCCGGGGAGGACTCCTGCCCCTACTACTACTGGTACGGGGACCAGTCCAACACCACCGGCGACCTGGCCCTCGAGTCCTTCACGGTCAACCTCACGGCCCCCGGCGCGTCCCGCCGCGTGGAGGGCGTCGTGTTCGGGTGCGGGCACTGGAACCGCGGCCTCTTCCACGGCGCCGCGGGGTTGCTGGGCCTCGGCCGTGGCCCGCTGTCGTTCGCGTCCCAGCTCCGCGCCGTGTATGGGCACACCTTCTCCTACTGCCTGGTGGACCACGGCAGCGACGTCGCCAGCAAGGTGGTGTTCGGGGAGGACGACGCCCTGTCTCTGGCGGCGCATCCGCAGCTCAACTACACGGCTTTCGCGCCCGCGTCGTCGCCGGCGGACACGTTCTACTACGTGAAGCTCAAGGGCGTGCTGGTGGGCGGCGAGCTGCTCAACATCAGCTCGGACACGTGGGGTGTGGGCGAGGGCGGATCCGGCGGCACCATCATCGACTCCGGCACCACGCTGAGCTACTTCGTGGAGCCGGCGTACCAGGTGATCCGGCAAGCGTTCATCGATCGCATGAGCAGGTCGTACCCTCTCATCCCGGACTTCCCGGTGCTGAGCCCGTGCTACAACGTGTCTGGCGTGGAGCGGCCGGAGGTGCCGGAGCTGTCGCTGGTGTTCGCCGACGGTGCCGTGTGGGACTTCCCCGCGGAGAACTACTTCATCCGGCTGGAGGACGGCATCATGTGCCTGGCGGTCCTGGGCACCCCGCGGACCGGCATGTCTATCATCGGTAACTTCCAGCAGCAGAACTTCCACGTCGTCTACGACCTGCAGAACAACCGGCTGGGCTTCGCGCCGCGGTGGTGCGCCGAGGTGTAGCCGCCGGCGAGGCCTGCCTGAGAGGACCAATAATTCGAGCTCAGTCCTCGGCTTCATTGATTGGATTGGGAGGCAAATTGGGTGTAGAAATTTTCGGACGTTGGCACGTACGCAAGCTCTAGCACAAAGGATTTTTTTAAAAAATTTGCACTTATATTATCTCCAAGGAGAGGAGGTTAGGAATATTGTAGTACTAGGATCGTACTCGTGTGTTGTAACGGGAAAATGTTAATCCTATCTCCGTGTCCAATGCCGATCACTCAAATTCTAGAAAATGTAAGTTGTAAGTTGTAGATCAAGAATGTATAGTGCACACAAACTTCTTTTTTTCCAAGTAATTGCTCATGAACATGTGATGTACAACAACAGAATAGATTTGATCTTTAAAAGGAGCATGCACAGATTGTTCTTCTGCAACGAGCAGGATGAAACTCCAGAGCACGTCATCGGCGGCTGTTCCATCGGGATGCAATTCTCGGTGAAGCTTGGGATGAACGAAATGACGGGAACATCTGTGGACAACATCCACAGACTCAATCCTCCAGCAGGAGTTCCAAAGGAGGAGTTTCCAGCGCTCATCGCCTTGGCTTGCTGGCAACTTTGGAAAACAAGAAATGCGGCAATCTTCAGAAATGAGCAACAAAGCATCACGCAAGTTCTGGCAGCCTGCAAAGCAACAGCGGAGCAATGGCGCTGCAGGTTTCCTAGGAAGAAGCGGCACGTCGTCGACCAATGGTGCCAGTTTTTTGAAACAGCAAGACAAGGATGAACAATCTATTTTCACTTGATTACCTACATCTGACATCACCATCTGGGTGATGCTTGGCTCTTGTACAAAATGTTTTGTAACACTGTAACATTACATAACGGGTGTTTTGAGCCAATATATGATATCAGGTGAGGAATGCCTCCTCCCTGTTGACCACAAAAAAACATATGGAAAAAGATATTTCAAAACTATCTACGTAGTCCAAAGAACTTGATAAATAAATCCTCAGCCTGTGCAATTTTTTTCTTCCATTTGGTGCAGTTGATAAATAAATCCTTCCGTAGCCTGTGCAATTTTCTTCTTTCATTTGGTGCAATTAGTGTTAGAAAATAAATCCTATCACTATTAGGGTCGTATAAGGTTTTCTTCGAAGACCAAGTAACTCCTTCAACCGTAGAAATTTCACCAACATCCTTGAGGTAGTTCACATAAGAGAAAAGGGATGTGAGTCCTCTCTATGATATTGCTCACAAGAGACTCAAACTTATATCCGATCAATGTCATGTTTAAGTGCTTTTCCGACCCACCAAATCTCACGGCTATACCTCCGAGGGGTCCGATCACGACGAAATGGAATCGCCATCCCAAGGACACGCCGTGGGCGACAAAAGAAGGCCAAGGCCCTCAGAGAGTCCTCCCATTCGAAAAAACCTCCGAATGAGTATTCTACTCTTCCGCAGGCTCGGGGGTTACTGTCGGGGACCAATACTAAGGTACCCGAAGAGGACTAATGGTCATCAACATTGATTCATCCGAGCAGTCAAGAGCGCGACTACAGCTCCAACCGACCCCGAGGCAGCGGGCTCCGCCTCGCCCGACCTCTAGGGCGGGCTCCGCCTTGCCCGACCCCGAGGCCGCGGGCTCCGCCTCGCCCGACCCTTGGATTTGTGCTCCGTCTCGCCCGACCCCTCGGGTGCGGGCTCCATCTCGTCCGACGGGGACACATACCGCCACCAACCACTCCAGGTCCAAGCGTATGGGCCTAGGTCAAAACTCTGACACCAAGGAAGAGACCGGCACGCCCCGATGTAACCTGTGGCCATGACGGGCCAACCTGAGGATTCACATCAAGAACAACGTCGGGCGTGCGGGTGCTATTCTGCCTAACCCTCGTACGAACGATGACAGGCGCGTTAGTTCACCACGACGCCTGCCGAGACGGAATGGAACGCCATGACCAGCAAATGACGCCTGCGCATGGCGCCAGTGGTGAACAGGGCCGCGACGTGGAGCCGTCCTTGTTGACATTTACATGGTCGAGGGGACCCGCATGAAGGAGAATAAGGACCCGGTGATCCTGGAAGCCTTCCTCTCTCTGGTTCTTCTCCTTTTCCTCCGCTGTAACCCACGCTTTTCCTTGCCCTATAAAAGGGAAAGTAGGGTGCCCCATGAGAAAATGAGGGCTAGATCTGCACAAGACCGAGACCACGAGATAGAAAACAGAAGAGCACGACTTGAACACACGGCTGAGCAGCGCTCGAGCTCTCAGCACCTGTTCACTCCTTTCACCGAGACTTGGGATCCTTTCCCTCTCTTGCCCGTTTGTAACCCCTACTGCAAACCAAGTGCCGGTAACACGAGCAGCAACAAATTGGACGTAAGGGCGTTCTGCCCGAACCAGTATAAACTCTTGTGTCCTTCGAGCACACCATTCGAGCCAAAACGTGCAAATACAAATTTACTCGTCGGTGATCCAAAAACACCGACACGGGGATTCGCGCGCGGTGGACTCACTAGTGGAGTTGTGTCGCGGGGAGTCGTAGGGCCATTGGGGGCGCCACCGGTGGAGTCACGCTACCGGGGATTCGCGCGTGGGGGACTCACCAGTGGAGTTGCGCCGCAGGGAGTCATAGGGCGGCGGGGAGAAGACGGGCATAGAAACGAATTGAAACTGTCGTTTCGGATCATGGCCTAGAGCCCTAGGAACGAGGACCAGTGGGAAGATTTGGGTGACCATATAAATTCGAGTTTTAGTAGAGACCATGTTGGACCTCTGTTTTTGACGTGTGCATCCAAAATTAGCTATGAGACAAGTAGAGGCCTGCTAAAGTTGTTCTAAGTATTAGCAACAAGAAAATGTATCTAGTAAAATATTTTAGCCATTATAGAATTTTAAAATTGTAGGAGTATCTTGTGCACTGTTATGGGGTGTTTGGGACTGCTCCATAAACTCCACCATGGAGTAACTCCACAAAAAACTAGAGTTTGTAGAGCACCTCTTTAGGTGCTCTCACAACTCCATCCTTTTTCCTCGAACAGAGTGCATGGAGTTGAAACCGTTTAACTAAAAAAACGTAGAGCGAAGCTAAAAAACATAGAGCGGAATAGTCCTAAACACCCCCTCTTTTTAGCCTTTTCTCCCTCGTATTTACCATTATAGAAACGATATCTAAGGGAACTACAAAGCATCACATTATGAGATTTATGCCAGACAATTTTTTTTTAATTTTGACCAGATTTATACAAAATATTAACAATATTTATATCTATAATAATTTTATTATAAAAATATATTCAGTGATTCATTAATGATGCTAATTATGTATCATTAATATTAATTTTTTACAGTGGTTCTGCAGAACCAGATAAAGAGGAGCATCTCCTCCTTTTTTTTTTTTTTTGAGTTTGGGCTCATGCCCCGGCGAACCTCTCTGGTTTCTCTCCTGGATAAATTGGGCTCTCACCAAATTGCACTTTCTGCTGCTTTCGCGTACCACTTCCCGCGCCGCTGCCGACCTCTTCCGCTTCCTCGTCGGCCGCCGCTCGCTCCACCCCTCCGACGGCGCGCTCGCGCCCGTCGTTCGCCACCTCGCGCCGTCGCGACTTACCCGCCGTGCGCGCGCTCATTCAGGAGTTTCCCACCGCTCTCGGGCCGGTCACGCTCGACGCCTATCTCCAGCAGCTCGTCAGAGCCGGGCGCCCAACGGACGCTGTCAAGGTGTTCGACAAATTGCCGGAGCAGGTCCGTAATCATGAGGCTCTCACTTTGCTGGTCTCCTCGCTTTCTGCCGGGGCTTCCCCTCGCACGCAGAGCGTGCGGCCAAGAAGGTTTCAAACGAGATCTTCCCGGATGACAATATCTGCACTGCTGGTATCTGGCTATGCCAATATGCTGGTAAGCTCGACCATGCGCTAAGGTTGGTTGGTGAGACACGTAGAGCGGTAGAGGTGGGTTCCAGCCAGGATTGGATTCATACAATGCTGTTCTTGATTGTGTCTGCCGGCTCTGTCACAAGGACCCACTGAGAGGATGCCTATGGAAGCGGAGAAGTTCTTAGTTGACATGGAAGCCAATGGCATTATTCCCAGTGAGCCGTGATGCAGGGACATTTCGGGTTCTGATCACAAATTTTCTCAAGATCCACAAGACAGAGGATGGCATGAATCTGTTCCGGCATATGGGTGAGTGGGTCTGCTCAGAGGATGCTGACACGTACAGATGTACTTGGTGCTCATCAGCAGCTTGTACCAAGCTGCCCAGACTGCAGAGGGCGATGACATGATGACATCGATGCAGTCTGCAGGATTTGGAGATAAACTTGATAGGAAGGCATATTATGGATTCATCAAGATTTTATGCGGGATTGAGTGGGTTGAGCATGCTGTCAAGCCGTCAAGGTATTCCGGGCATGCTCCTGGAGTAAAATCATATAGCTTGTTCATTGAGAAGCTGGCTAGGCACAATTTAGGGGATCATTCCAATGCACTGTTCAGGGAGTCAGTTGCACGTGGTGTACATGTGGCACAAGGAGAGTATAATATTGACAAAAGGTATGTCAAGGTAAAGAAGGAGAGTAAGGTGAAGAAGAGGTTGACTTTGCCAAAGAAGATGAGATTGAAGAGCAAGAGGTTATACAAGCACAGAATGAGCTTTGTCAAGAAGCCCAATCGTCGAATGCTCCGTGCTTAAGCATAATTTTGGGTATTCTCATAGTCATGCTGATTTCATTACTTGTTCATAATACTATCTTTGCTTTAGCATTTGCCATATTGATGGTGATCTCTTCTGAGGACCAGTTCGTCATTCTTTGTCAATCATTTTGTCCTGCGCTACTGTCACTATATCTTACTTCATCGCACTTGAATAGAGAACAACAACAACAACAACAGCAGCAAAGCCTTTAAGTCCCAAATAAGTTGGGGTAGGCTAGAGTTGAAACCCAGCAAAAACAATCAAGGTTCAGGCACGTGAATAAGCTGTTTTCCAAGCACTCCTATCTAAGGCTAAGTCTTTGAGTATATTCCATCCTTTCAAGTCTCATTTTATTGCCTCTACCCAAGTCAACTTCGGTCTTCCTCTGCCTCTCTTCACGTTACTATCCTGGCTTAGGATTCCACTACGCACCGGTGCCTCTGGAGATCTCCGTTGGACATGTCCAAACCATCTCAACCGATGTTGGACAAGATTTTCTTCAATTGGTGCTACCCCTAATCTATCACGTATATCATTGTTCCGAATTTGATCCCTTCTTGTATGACCGTAAATCCAACGTAACATACGCATTTCTGCGACACTTATCTGTTGAACATGTCGTCTTTTCATAGGCCAACATTCTGCACCATACAACATAGCAGGTCTAATCGTCGTCCTATAAAACTTGTCTTTTAGCTTCTATGGTACCATTTTGTCACATAGGACACCAGATGCTTGGCGCCACTTCATCCACCCTGCTTTGATTCTATGGCTAACATCTTCATCAATATCCCCGTCTCTCTATAGCATTGATCCTAAATATCGAAAGGTATCCTTCCTAGGCACTACTTGACCTTCCAAACTAATATCTTCCTCATCCCGAGTAGTAGTGCTGAAGTCACATCTCATATACTCAGTTTTAATTCTACCGAGTCTAAAACTTTTGGACTCCAAAGTCTCCCGCCATAACTCCAGTTTCTGATTCACTCCTGTCCGGCTTTCATCAACTAGCACTTCATTGCACTTGAATATAGAAGTACAGTAAAATCCTTTTCCCCCAAAGTTCTAGTATGTAGATTCAAAACTCTGTTTAGACTATATTCTTTTACACCATTATAGTTAGATGCTTATCAAAAGTTTAGTTTCAACATCAATGTGTATAAGACAAAACTCTGTTTAGACTATATTCTTTTACACCATTATAGTTAGATGCTGATGAAAAGCCTAGTTTCAACATCAATGTGTATAAGACAAGCTATAAGGAAAAACATACCAGTATGATGCTGAATATGCTGTAAAGTCAAGAAAAACTAGGAAGAAAGTTTTTTTTGGGATGAGGGAAGTTAGCATGTATTAGTCTAGAGTGGGTAGTTTCACTTGAATTTTGTTGCTCAGCTCGTCAATTTTTTTTCTGATCCAGTAACCACTAACCAGTAGATCATCGTTATAGCATTAAATGAGTGTAGTTTCTTAGGAAATTTTAGGTGCCCCAAACATTGCTTTGTCATGTTATTTTTGTCAAACTGGCTATTTTGTTGTTTGTTTAATCCTCTGTAGCAGTTTCATAGATAATAGATATTAAATATTGGCACATTCAAAACGATTTGTGGTAATCTGTGCATCTTTGTATTTGTGGGTGTGTTCTACTTTCTCTTCTTCTTAATGCAATGATATGCAGCTCTCCTGCGTTTTCGAGAAAAGATAAGATTTGTTGTCAAATGCAGATCTTAGTAAAATGAATACTAGAAATTTAATGAAAACCAAGATGCACTACATACAATCACCAAAATTCCTGGATTACTCCTTTGTTAGGACTGGATGATGATATAGAATGCGTATATATATCATATATGCGTGCCTATACTTCAATATCAAAAGCTTAACTTGGTTTCATGTTCCTTGTCCAATGTTACCTGACTCTCTGCCTCCACAAAGCTAGTAGAAATTGGAATTTCTTATTCGTCTTCATTTAGTGCAGTCCAGTCTGCTGCAGAATAACTTCATGGGAACACTGCAGCTATATTTATTTTTAGAAAATCATTTTTTTACTTTATGGACCTTTTCACTATGAAAGTCAAGCTGCTTTGCTCAGGTTCTCACACCAGCCTGTGAAATACGAGTTCCAAATAACTTTCTGTTATGTGCTGCTAAGGTTGCACTGATACAAAGTTTCTTACTATCATGTTGGCATTTTGTTTTGTTACATATACGCATGACCAGTGCATTCTCCATATTATAGGAGTGTTGGCTTGTATCCATTTTTTAAGCTCCCCTATGGCACCAGAGCATATACGGCATAGCAGATTATAATGTACTTAGCCCCACCACTACAAGTCTACATGTAGGCTCCTCCAACTTTCTGTATTGTATCATATCATGAGCTTGACTTACAAATTTGGCTTCTTACCATCCAGTGTTGAACATATGGAATATGCTCTGGCCATGCAACATCTTCCTTGCTCATAAGTTTGAGCATCCTTTTAGTGTTGAACATAATTATCATGTCTGTCAAGTTGCAAGCGCTCAACACATATGTGTGACTGTTTTGTCTGAAGTTAGAAGATAAATGGATAATGTACTAGATGCCACTATCATTATCAGTGATTTTCCCAATCATCTCATCTGTTAGATTCCAGTTTGACCTAATTTTGTGCCCACAACATGATGCCTCGCACCGAGAAATTAAGGATTTAAAAGTTTATGCTTTTTGCCCAAAATGTTTTCTTTTGTAAACTGCCTGCACACCTTTCTGCAACTGTGGTACTAATGATTTGTAACCAACCATGTATCAGTTTGGTTGGAGCGGACGATCATGGGAACGGACACACCACCAGATCCAGTTATAAATCAAGATCAGAAAATGGTTGTCCCTGAATTGTGGATTTGTGGCTGTCCTTGTGAGTGGCCATGCAACATCATTTTTCCAATGCGAGGGCTTCGCCGTATGGTTTCACTTTTGGGTTGATGGCCTGGTGACTCCGGTGATGTTTGGTGCAACACCTTGCATTCCATTACAGCACAAATAATGTACCATCTCACTTCATTTAATTTACACTTCTGGTGATATTCTGTACACCCTAGTTTCTCATAGAAAGCATTGGAATTCTGGAACAACTCGTCCAAAACTAACTGGACCACCTCTTGCTGAAGAAGTTTGTTGTTTCCTGGTTTCCCACACTTTTATGAGCGAAAATGTATTTTTCAATGTTCTCGACTACATGAGACATTTGTGAGACTATAATACATGAACATCAATTTTCACTCGCTGACAAAGTGACAATCGATGGGAGTTTGTTTCTCCACACCTGCTTGATTCCTGCGCGTCACATCACGGTGCACTCTGCATAGCACTCATGCAGAGAGACCCGTTCCTTTCCCAGATTTCGATCAGGTAGGTTAGGTATGACCCTCTTTTTTTTATGCGACTTATTATTTATACACCGTACCTGGTTTGCGTGCACTGGCTCCTCTTTTTGTGAGCTCATTTCATAAACCGAATCTCGGATCAAGCTGCTATGGTCTACGGCTCTGTTCGGCTGATATAAATCGGCTGACTGAATGTGCCACCGGCTGATTCTGCTACAGTTAATAAATTCAGCTAAACCAGCCGGATCAGCCAGGCAACCATTCAGTTCAAAAAAAATAATGGCGCCAATTGCAACACCAGCCATATGCATGGGCAGACCTTACATCATTCAAATTCAAATCAAACACGAGGCACCAAAAAACCAGCCATGGCCAACCCTTACATCAGTTCCTTGTTCATATTACATGCCAACAGCTCAATAAAACAATTCATTACAATACCACTCACATACAATTAGAGTAAAGTCCCAACTCTACAAATAGTTTCCCGTCCATACATCATTGAAATGGCATCATCGGGCACTTATACAAATTACAGTCCAATTCAACATTCCAGCCAACAACTCCATACGGCATAGCACTACCTACATATTGAACCATGCCAATGTTATACAATTACACATACAAGCAACATTTACAAACATGTAGCCTTCACGAAGCCACAAAGCAAAATGCACAGACAACTCTTCGGCTCGACAAGACCACATGCAACCTGCAGCTGAACATAAACCAGCGCCTGCATGCATCACCAAGTATCAGACATAACTGATGCAAACCAAAGCCCATCTAACTTGAAATCACCTACTTCCCATCCGAAGGTACATCACCTCTGCACATCATTGTCCCCACAACCCCAAATATATGAACTCCCTCATTGTTGTCATACTGTTACTAGCATTGAGCTAAACCCAGAAAGACGGTGGGTAGGTTGGGGATCCAAATCCATGCTCCCTAATCAACAAATAATTGTGGAGTGCAAAGCAAGACATTATAATCATCTTTTGCTTGGTCCTATGGCAGTACGATATCCCATCAAGAATCTGCCACCGGCCGTTAAGAACCCCAAATATCCGTTCGATAACATTGCGTAGCCTAGAATGAGTCAAGTTAAATTTCTCCTGTCGAGACATAGTCTCTACAGGTACACCCCTAAAATCATCCAAATGGTACCTTGTATTTTTGAAAGGACCCATGTATCCAGACTCCAGTGCGTAACCAGCGTCCACCAGATAGTAGCGGCCTGCAATGCATGAACCAATTGCACAATTAGGTTTTATGTTCTGCACAAGCAACTAAAACAATGTAGGTCACATAATTGCTTGGCAGTCGTCACTCACCGGTTGGTGGATGCGGGAAGTTTGGTTCCTCCCAACATTCTTTGAGAACCGACATGTCATGCACCGAACCCGCCATCCCCACACCGACATATGTGAAGCGCCCATCCATGTCCACAATGGCACAAACATTCATAGTTTATCTCCTTTCCTATTTATATGGTCAATTTTGGCCTCATTATTCACCTTAACTTTGACGTGTGTGTCATCCAAAGCCCCGATGCATCCATCGAATAATGGGCGGTCCTGTTGCTTTGTACTTTGCAAGCAGGACAACAGCAGCCGCCAAGTTTAAAA